GTATAGGTTTGGAATATGAGTCAGAGACTCGACACTTTGTGTCTTCGAATGCAGTCGTGGTACTACTTACCCTGGTCGTCGCCCTTGATTTTACTTACTAATTCTGCTATCACTTCTGCTGGTCCACCAGGAAGTTTATAAGGGGAGGCTAGAAGTTTTCTAGAGTTAGCTTAAGGAAAGCACGACCTGTGACATCTTGGTCTTGAATAACTTTAATATGTTTGTCGTCAAGGTCTAACCCTTCTTTTTCGTTCTGTTCCTGTAAAAATTTAATCACATCAACTCGTAGCCATTTCTGAACTTCTTTTACGGATGGAAAAGACATGGCTGTTAATATTTTTTTGCTCGGAAATAGTAGTACAACTAGACCCAGAGAAAGCGAAAAATTTTTTTTAGTAGGAATGAGTCGTACATTCACCCTTTTTATAGTTTATACAAACAATCAGATTGTCGTACAACAGGTCACGTATTGTTACACAATACAGATATTGTATTTTTCCCAACATAAAGAATTATTTTAATAAATCACGGTCCTTGTCATTCAAATTAAAAAACTATTTATCCCTGAAGAGGCGTGACAATCATTACGTGGCTAAAATTTTTATACAAACCTGCTCTATCCCCGCCTTCTCGCAGTTCCTGCTCGAAGTCACAGCAAAAGTAATAAGATATTTTTTCTCAAAAAGGGGAAACTTTATTTTCTGACCCGCCTGCAATTTCATTGCTCGAAGGCAGATAAAAATATAGAAATTTAGCGAAACATAAATTTCACAAAATATTTAAAAAAAACATAAAAACGTTTTTTGAAAAATATTTTCAAAAAAATATAAAAACGGTTTTTGCAAATTATTTTCAAAAAAAAAAATATAGAAACGGTTTTTGCAAAATCAAGAAAATATATTTTCGGGAATTTTATGACTTCGAGCGCGAGAAGGTGGATGCACGTAGATAAAAATTTTAAATAAACACAATTAAAAATCAAATAATAACGATATCTATTATTTTATTAGACTCTGAGAAAATATAGAGGTGGGGGAAGAGAAGTTTGACTGCGGGAAAATATAGAGGTGGTGGAGGTAGAGAAGCTTGATTGGGGAAGTTATGTAAAAATAAAACTAATAAAAGATATTGGAGGAATAGGGAGTTCTTGGATCCTAGGCCATAAATGAGAGTCCCAGCATCAATTTTATTTCGCACTACTACCCCCGTTACTATTATTACTACTATTACTACTGCTACTATCAGAAAAACTACTTTTTTATTTCCCTCCTTTTCAACCCATTCGATGATTTTATCTACAGAAGTTCTTCTTGGTGATTTTTGATGACGGTAAAAACTAGCTAATGTGCTAGCGCTAAGGCCGATTTCAATTGACAAAATATTGTACATTTGCGTTGGAGAGCGACTTTCCCTTTTTCTCCTATTATTAAAAAGGGCCGTAAATTCGACCCAATATGTTTCATATTCATCTGTATATTCGAAATATTGTCCCATGGAAACGTGACTTGTGGAAGAGAATCGATTAGATCCTGCTAGAAAAAATATGGCGCAGATAAGTATATATGCATGACATGTATATTTTAATACGTTTAAGATTATAACCTACCTTGAGATGCTGTTTCGTTTCTCCATTCAGCTTCTGTACGCATTTTTTGAAGCTCATTACTTAATGCTAAGATGGTTTTTTCGAGATTATTTTCTCCTGATCCCTTTAGATATTTATGAATAAAGATGATAGCAACGACAAAGATTATATAAATGGTTATGTTTCCCGAAAAAATGCCCTGGATCATATCCATTGTTAGTTACCATCTCGAAAACAGCAATTGTGATGCTGAAGACTGCAATCAAGAAAATGTTGGAGTTTGAACCCATTTTTTTAGATAGATTTTTGTTTTATTAACTTTATGTGAAATTGTTATTTTATTTTTTTTACTTGTAGGAGAATGCTGAATGCGAAAATCTTATTTTTTTTTCCCTTGTAGGAGAAAAAAATGCCAAGACGCTTCTCTAGAAATACCCCTTTATATATTTTACGATGCACAGCAAAAATATGAATCTATATTCGCTAGTATGAATGGAAAAGAATCTGCTCCAAATAAAGGCATTGCATAATTGCGTGAGGGCGCGATTATCCGCTATGTATGAAAATGATATCATATCTATACCTGATCACTCCCTATTTCTGAAAAAAGAAAATATTAAGATCCTGTCCGGCGTTTATATCTAAAGATGAAAAAAGTTAGTGTATTCCCGTATCCCCATATCTCCACAACACGTTCAAACAATGAAGAATAATATTTTTTTTCAAATATTTGGCCGTGAGGCCTTACGCAAGAGAAAAGTTTTTTATTAATAAAATTTCACTAATAAAACATTAGATAGCCTTGCTATCATATAGAGTACAGTATCTACATTATGTCGACTAAAGTCCACCCCCCCATTCCTATTCACAATTCATTTATGTCTAAAGAGAAATAGAATATATTTAATGAGACACTGCTTCGCTTAACAATAAACTGTTTATATAAGTATAGTGAGTCAACCGAAGAGTGGGATACAAAGTGACCCTCCTAGATAAAGAACGATAGATTTTTTTGTTGCTTCGAATATATAAAAAGGTGGATTTCTCTTCATCTGTGGCGCAGTTCAGAGTAAAAAACTTCTAGAGTATCCCCTATAATGCAGATCAAAAAGTTGGTCAAAAAGGTAGGGTATTTATAAAAAATTTCTGATTCCCGCAGGTCGATTCACATGAACATTTTTGTGAAAAATTAACCATTCCTGGAATAAATAATCAGGAGCATTGGCGTAAATTTCATCTTTTTTTCGGTTAACTTTTTTTATAGGGTTGGTAATATAGCCATTTTCGTTCCATTCTAACAACACGATCAGCAAAATACCTTTGGCAGGAGCATAGATCCTACTATGCATTGAAATAGAAATTTAACCCGATTTAATTAGATGCCGTAATTTAATACTAATAAAGTTGAAGTTATTATCGAGAAATATACTGTTTATTGCTAAGATCGCACAAGATCTGGAAGATCTCGCATGTTTTTTGCGTAATCAAATATTATTTTAAATCCCCCATACAAATCTACCAATGACCCATAAATGGAATTTTTATTTTATTATATAGAATTGATGATGCTATAACACCCGTTATATTTCATAGGATCAAATCTACAAATCGCTAGCATAATTTCCATTCTTGTCTCATTCTAACATCAGAGATATCAGATTAACTTGCGTGCTAATTTAAAAAGATTCGTATTATGTGACTATGCTAGAACCTTCGGGAAAAAAAGTTGGTGGATTAATTATTTATTGATTGCGGAATTAATATCCAACCCATCATGATTTTTTGTGCATGGGAGTACATGCATTGTGGATCAGCGAAAATATTCCGAGGCGATGATTACACTCTGGGTCGACGTAATAACTGTTAACCACTAGACGTCTTCTAAATTTATCTAAGGAAGAAAAAAATGGATTATTCGATGTATTCTCCAGTTCCGAGGTATTTGGAACGAAAGTACATAATGCACTCTTGGATGCTTTAGCCGATCCCGTGAAAGGTTGGGATCTTAATAATTATTGAATGGATAATTCCCCGGCAGATTATTCCTGTAAAGCAATTACTCTTGATCTATAGATCAAGGGAGATCGAAACTTTATGATTTTCAAGTTTATTAGCATTTTGATAATACCGTTCTTGAGCATGTTTCATTAATGTGCCACCTGGTCGATGAAGCCACTTAATTACTGCGTACTGGATTATTTTAGCCGAATTTATTTGTTTTTTCCGTAATATGCTCGATATGCTCGCTGGATAATAATCGCTAATTGGTTTTTAATATACAAAGTTTTAAAATATACTATTTGGATTTTAAACTCTCTAAATTTAGAGTTATTGGCTATATATTCATTTCTGGTTAAATTATTTTTAATACGGAATACAAAGTTTTTCCAATGATCCTTTATATTAATATCATATCCTGGTATTAATAAACGTCTACGTATATATGCAGGCGGATGATACTTCGCAAATCGTAACCAAGCTTCTGGTGTTTTTAGATTATTGATATAGTTTAAACCATATTCGGCCAACATAGATCGGGCATAACTATTTTTTCCCATTCTTTAAAAATATCTTGAATATTGAGCATGTTTGTATTTTGATTTTATTAACTAAGGCTTTTATTTAATAAGTATGAGCCAGACCGATCGACTTACTAGCAATCGTGAATAATTAGTGAAGAAAAGGGGAGTATAGACTTCATAGATTTTTTATTTCACTTCGACACTTTTTATCTGTGTTAAAAAATATATTACTCAATTCTATTCTCAAGAATAGCATTAGGAAAATGGTGAACAACTAGCGATCACTATTCCGGGCTGTTGATTTAGCCAACCACTTAACCTTTCTCAGTCGTGCCTTTCTTCGTTGCTTATAAGGAACTGCCTTTCGCTCTCTTACCGTCTTAACTGAATCAAATTCTTCAGATGAATTAGATGAATCAGAGGAACTCTTACCTTTTTCATTAATCAGCGAGGGAATTATTTCATGTATTAAGTCAACTACAGTCTCTCTATCTACACATTCATCCAAATCATCTAATTCGATTTTTTGGGTTCCCACATCTCTTTCCAATCTTTTTACCGCCTTTTTTAAGCTATTATACTCGGAATGATAATTATCAAGTTTTTTATCTAATGCTCCAATTTCTCTAGAAAGCACACTATACACTTTCGCATTTTGCTCATCTAACCCAAATATCCGAGTACTGGATGAACTATCATGCTTGTCGATGTATGAATGATTTTGATCAGTTACCATTTTGTGATATTTTATATATGATATATATTACCTTGAGCGAAAAAATAAAATTTAATAATCAGTATCTAACCTATATATGTGATTAGTTTTCATCTGAGAGCTTGAATGCCCGTGCCTGATCATAAGGTTGTCCCCTCCTTCTGAAATTAACTATAGTATATCTATCAGATGGAGAAGCATGATTGTCAGGACTGTGCCTTAATGCTTCACTGGCGAAAGTATTGGCCTCCGATAAATTCTTTGCACTATGCACTACGGATGCAAATACCGATCCTAGCTTGCGCAAAGAGCTAGGAAGTAGTGGCTTATAAGGTTTGGGAATAAATTCATCTTTTTTCAGAAATGTACTTAAGTACGTAGATCCAAGCTTTCCTGGATCTCTTAACTCTCCAGAAACGATTGCTTCCTGAATCCATGAAAGCAATTGTCTCGCCCGTTCCTCATTCTTTTCCAGTGATCTAAACACCCGAGGAATATCCTGCTGACCTCAGTTTTTTGCGTATCCAGTTACACCTCCATTAGTTATGCACAAGTTTTTAATTTCAGTGGGGCGAATACAGAGCATGATCATTACATCAGCTAAGGCCTGTTTATCGGGTATATTTGACACATCGTAGAGATCTAGCCTTTCCTTAACTGATTCTAATGAGAAGTGGTCTGGGAAATCAATTCCTTCATTTTTGCGTTTCTCACTACGCTCCTTTTGGATTTTATTGGATGATCTGGTTATCTCCGGATTCAATGTAGCAGAAATTATTTTTTCTGAAGCATTGAGGGTTCGCAATTCTCTTCGAAGCCTCGAAAGATGGGATAAGGCGACGACATGATCAGAGGATGTTTCGACTAAGGCTCTAGATATCGCTTTTACATCTCTTTCACTAAGGTTATCTTGTATAATACGCTGGGCTGTTTCTTTAATGGTCTCTCCCTCTAGGGTGGTATCGGATGCTAAGCATATATTCACATCCCCTCCTTCTTTGGGGATTACTTGGCTTTTACTTCGCCCAATTCTCTCGTGAGGAATTAATGCAAATGCTTGTTCTTTGCTAAATCCATACCCTTTTTGAAGGCGATTATGGGCCTGGCGCCTTTTCTCTTTATCTACTAGTGGCACACCAGTTGTCAAGAGCTCAAGTATTTCCGGTGCATATTGGCTAAGCTCTTCGAGACTTGTCTCATTGGTGAGTTTGTGATCTGTGACGAATTTGGTTGTAATAGCAGACATGATGAGGTAAGTAGGGTGATAATTAGACTAATCCGTGATTTTCAGATTATATTATATGGGAAAAAGTTCAATTCGAAAAAAATATTTCGACAATTTACTATCTCATGATCATTGAAAGTTATCGGAGAGCCGAAGGAAGGGAAAGAATGATATAACTTATGCGGAGATCTCTATGAGGCCACCTGCTTGGCCTTGGAAAGGTTTACATCGATTTGAAAATTGCAGGTAGATAGGGTATGCGAAAAAAAAATACATAGTCATGGAACCCCCATTCCAAGGCTATGAATGGCCTAAGCCGAGATGTTATAGTAATATTTAGTAAAACATTCGTGCTAAAGCTAATATGTGTTCTGGTCCTAAAGCATTTGTTTCGACGAATGCATCATATAAAGCACCCGGTCTATGCTTCGAAGGGACTAAATTCGGGTGATGGAGGAATTCCATGAGTACATTGTTTCTCCAAACTTTTGTCTCTTTACACTCCCAAATTATTTCTATGAGTATAGACAAGCTATTACTGAAATAATTCATTTCAATTAGATTCTGGAGCGATGATCGTTTATTTTTTTCAAAAGTGAATAAGCTCACCCCACCCACAACAACAGATTCTACAGTAATGGGAAACTTATTACAAATATCTGATCTGTTCGCTAGGATAGATAGGGGCGGAATTAAAGCTGGGTGGCGGAAGTCGGCTAAGGGATCTAATTCATCAATGTATATGTTTCCGATGTCTTCTAAATAATCGGAAAGCCAATCAACATATTTATAGCCTTCACGAATCAACTTCTGGAATAGCCTCCCATTTTGGTTGATCCATCAGCCGGTTAGTAAATTAAGCGCTCTTTCTTGATACACGTCCATAGCGTTAGTATGAAAAACCATTTATGACTTATCTTAATACCGAATAATTTAAATATACTTTTTACTATGAAATTAATCCGCAATAAAAGTAAAAAAGGTTTTCATATCCTAAAATACTTATATGGATCGGGTTACCTGCCCACATATCAAAAGAGACGGTTCTGTTTGTGGAAGAGTCTGTACTCGCACAACTGGCTGTGGAAAACACTGGACTTTGCATGAAAAAAATATGAAAAAAAGACCCTGTCTTGTTTGTGAATTTCCTACTGCTTCTACCACGGGTTGTTGCCCCAAACATTCTGCGAAGTTTTATGCACTAAATTACCGGATGAGGCAGAAGTATAAGATCGAGTCTCGCCATTATGGAAAAACTTCTGAATTATCTGCCAAGAAGTAAGCAGAAAATATGAAGCCTTCTGCGTAATTATTATATAAAATATTGGCAGAAGGCTTCATCTTAAAAGTATGTACCTGGTCGGAATATGGTATATTTACATTAATATTTCATCGGGTGAAAGCTCGCTATAGCCATACCGAGTATCTTTTTCATTCATCCAGTAAATTTCTGACCCTGTTTGGTATGGAGGTAATGCAGGAGCACCTTCACTATCGAAAGACCCAACTAGATGGTAATGTCTCCGATTCTTATCTATAGCCTTAAATTTTAACCCATATGTTATGTGCACTGCTGAATTTAGTAAGCCGAGTTTTGCTCGATCTGTTTTTAATCCTGATTTCTTAGCTCTGCGTAATGCATCTGTATTATCAAACACTCGAGCCATTTTAGGTACTAAGTCCTGGAGATATGATACCGACTCGGGAGAATTCAAGCGTGTTTTGACAACATTAGCTCCATACCGCGCTTTATCATCGATGTCTCTAGCGGGTGTACAATTTCTTAGTAACTCCAGACAAATTCGATGTCTCTCAGCTCGGGTTGTAGTTGTAAGTCGGTCTTCCCTGTAATCTTTGCGGGTGATAGCTTCAACAGCCATTTCATTACCAGTGCCGGCATCTCGTAATTGCTTATAAGCTCTGAACCATTTCATATGATTATAATTTCCATATTTCGAGATAAAATTCTCGGTTAACAATTCAGGCGAAATTTCATAACAATCAACAATATGATGCCGGTCTAAAGAGCGCATTTCTTCTAAAGTCTTCTTTGGCTTGTTTTCTAAAAATTCAGCAGTCTCGCGATTAACAATAGTAGCATTAGTTATTTCTGATATTTCCTCTGCTTTAACGATAACAGAATTCGCCTTCACAACTTGAGACAATGAAATATTATTTTTATCAGATTTAGGAATAGGTTCTATGATGGAAATTATCATACCCGCCTTTCTAAGAAAATCAACCATTCTCCAACCAAATAATCGCCAAGAACGGAATTTCTCCAACATGAATGCTACCCATAATCGAATAGTTGGTACGTCTTTATTCCGGATAATAGAATCTACATCTGGAAAAACTCCTCTATTCTGAAGTTCTCGTGGGAGGCATTCACGTTTGGCATTTAATAACCACTGAAACAACCCCTTTTCTGTAACAGGAACGTTAGAAGATCTCTGCTCAATATGACATATGTAATCTTTAATACACCGCATGTGAAATAACATTTGATTCGTTTCAGCATTTGTTTCTATATAACTATTAAAGAGACAGAATGCTCGTTCAAACTTAGGATTAGTACATGAAACACCTATTTTAAGAGTGCTAGTATATGCTACTAAATCTACGTTTTTCCATGTTTCTTCTACATCGCTAAAATCTTGTGCTTTTTCCACTGGATCGGATTTACCGTGATACTCCTTAATTCGTAATTCTGGAAAATCAGTCTTGAGAGCGCGAACAACCCCTTGCACATCTTTTCTAAGATGGCAAATGAGTGATGCACTTGTTCGTTTCTCAGAAAGTAGTGAAGATATTTCCCTAGCCCAATCCCAAAGTTCAGCTAATACAGTTTCTTTATTAGGAGCTAGGCGGAATGTTTTACCTTTCTGAGGCTGGTAAGTATTATGAATAATATAGAAAGGTACAGCCTTGCGAAGAGCTTTAACCCATTCAATATTAAGATCAGTTAGGTCATTATCCATAACAATAATACGCCTAGCCTATTGGATTAATTTATATAATTTTTCTATTGATTGCCCCACCAAGCGACCTTGTGCCTGAGCAATTATAGACACTATTTCATCAAGCAATAAATTATATGGGTGGGGAGAACATTTACATTTTTTATTACATTTGCAATTATTAGTAATACGATGCAAACTCTCTATCTGGCATACCACTCTCTTGTGATCGGGTAGATTTATCTTACCATCGATATCACAATATGATTTGAGATTGAGTCTTGTTGTTATAGCACTCGAGTAAGAGTGGCGCGTAGATAATACTAACAAATTCACATCATCAGATATAGTAAGATGTTTGAGAGCATATGTTTTTCTAGTTTCCCAAGGTGAACCTACATAAATATCACCCAAGCCCCCTTCATTAGGTAGTGGTCTTACATATCTTTCTTTGTAAGTTTCTGTAGTTGTAAGGGTCTCACTATATTTGACCCAAGACGGCATTTTTACAAAAGCTCTTGGGAAGCCCGGGCCTTTTACCTTGAGATAAGATTGTGGTAAATTTTTATTTTTTTGCAGAATTTTTTCCGCAATAGATGGGTCACATTCAAATACTTCCCCAGGTTCATCACTATCTTGCCAGAAGCATTTTACGATGAATGTTCCACTACTAGCACATACACGACCGAACCACCACTGATCCTTGTCATGTATGCGTTTGCAAAGTGGGCATTCTAGTTGAGCTTTCCGGTTAAAATATACGAAGTTTTGTGAATTTTCTTCGATATTCCAATCCTTAAGATAATTAGAATATTTTTGCAAAACAAGATCTGCATATTTTTGTAATATATCATGACCTACGATTATCTTTAGTGGACTATTATTTTTTTCTACACTAAGCATACGAGGTCTTACTTCGAGACCTAAGCTAGTAGGTGGTTGAACTCTAGTATGATCGAGCTCATTCTAGCCATTAGTTATTGAAGATAACAGGATACGCTTCACACGACCTTTTTTTGCTGAACCAATAAGACGGAGATTAAAATTTTGACCTGGTAGTCCCCGATCGATAAACTTACCGAATTTTTCCCCAGTTAAGGTATATACCAATTCTGTAAATACTTTGAGTTCGTGATGATCAATAAGAAGAGCTGGTGCGTATAAAATATGGTAGCTACATTTGCTAGAATCCGATGATGTAGCGATTACCAATCCTTTAAGAATATCTTCCCAGCTACAATCAAGAATTCGATACAAAGCTCTTATGAAAGAGCAACAGATTCGGATAAATACGCTATCGGACTTAACTCCATTTGCTTCCATCTCACCATGTGTAGCATCGATATCGATTACAGCTCTTAAAGGCTTTTGACCGTTAATACATTCGTGAATCCCAGGTAGACCATATACTTCTGAGATATCATCTGCAACAGAAAATTTTGGGGCCCGATCATCTTGATCGATTTTTATAACCAATTTATTTTCAACTTCATCCCGGTCATAGGCGTTATACAAGCAGGAGCCTTTTTCATTCGGAAAGAGGAATGAATAGATTGGGAGATTATCCAAAGAACCTATGATATCTGACATATCTCTAGGTGGTGATAAGGCAATGTTTCGAATTTCATTTAGCAAATCTTTAGAGGAAAATTTATCATTGAACTTTTCCTGCCTTAGAGTGTATATCACATTAATCTTTTGTTCTTTTACATTTGGTAGCTGGATTAATAGAGTCTTGGTAATGCTGATTGAAGCGCAGGGGGCTTCTTCATTATCCGGCTCATAATTAGACACATAGTTATTATAACTATCTGATTCGCAATCAGAATCATTATTATTATAACTACTTGAGTCACTTAAATATTCATCGGAGTCGGCGCCGTCGTAGCGGGCGAGGGGGCCGGTTCCAGTGCGATCAGTTTGGTTGGAAATAGTTGTGGTATACATGTTGTTAGTTTGAAAAGAATTATATAACTCTATAAAAATCGGAAATGTTTAAAATATTTTTTTTGATGAATGCAATAAAGAAGCGATAGCGAGCTTAGTCAGCAAATCATAAAT